GGGACTGGCAGATGGAGTTCTCTCATCAGCATCCGTATCAAACCGTGCCTTTTCCCCAGTAAAAAGCTGCTGGTCCTGACTGCCAGCTCAACTGGTTCGCAGCGGAGGGAGAGGCCGGTCGCGTGCTTTCTGCTGCCTCTGCCAGTCATAACAAGGATCGCACGGTCGGGGCTTCCCTGGCAGCGGCTTTGGCACAGCGTGCCCTGGCTCGCTCGCCCAGTGTCCGGGGCCACCACGGCATCGGTATTAAACACATCTCTCTGCTGGGGAAGAGAGGCGGACCCACGGAGAGCAGATCTGTTGAGTAAGAAGGTGCTATTTTTACATAGCTACTTCTCAGACTGTAAAACAGCCCACACAGAGCGAGACCACACCACGCAGGCTGACTTTCATCACTTCATCAGATGGAAACTCCGACGGCGAGGGTCTCGCGAGAGCCCGTGCTCTGCAGGGCCGCCCGGGAGCCGAGGAAGCGGCGCTGGAGCGAGGCACGCTGCGTAGCCGGGGTTTGCTTTTCCTGCGAGGTGGTTGGCAGGCAGAAAGCAGAGCGAGACCCAGGGAGCTTGCCGCGAAGCTGCACTGAGCGTGGGGATGGTCGGTGCGACAGGGAAAGCAGAGCCGGGGCGTGCGCTTAGGACAGGGTTATTCTTCACCTCCAAAATCTTTCCAGTCCCCCTTTCCCTGCACATCTGTACCTGGGGACAGGCAAAGCTCTTCTGCGTCGGCATCACCAATCCTGTGCCATCAATCCTGCGTCCGTCGCATTTTCCAGGGGTTCTGCCATTAGTTTGCGGGGCCCGATGCAGGTTGCATGGGACACGGCGATGCGGTGGGACCCTCGTGTCGGAGCTCCCTGTCTCTTGCCCCGGTGCTGCGGGGGTGGCAGACGCTGCAGCACGTGCCGCTGCTGGCTCCTCCGTTCCCCGAAAGCGTGCCCTGCTCTTGCCTGGGCTGCAGGCGTCGGGAAGGCCGTTTGCTGGAGTATTGGCTTTGAAGAGCAGGTGTTGATCTCGAGAAGGTCGCCTCGCCTTCGGAGCCTGGGCTGTCTCGGGGGAACAGAGAGCTCCCGGCCTCCTTCCTCGGCACGCTTGGCTCAGGCTGCTCCTTCGGGGCTGTCGGGCTTTAGGGACCGCGCACAGACCTGACGGAGCCCTCAGCCCGCTGCACCTCAGTGCCTTGCGCAGCAACCTCTTATCCCTCCTGCAGACACTGGTTCCTCTTGCTTCAACCCACAGTGTACTTGGAAAGTTAAGGAAAACTATACTGCTCCAGAGAATCGCGCTCCCTCTTTGTTAGGTTAATGGTTGGACTTGATGATCTTAAAGGTCTTTTCCAACCTAAACGATTCTCTGATTCTTCCCTGCTCTGTGAGCGTTTTTTTCATGGCAAACCTAGCCCGGTGTCGGATGTAGCTCAGCAGAGCAGAGCAGGACCTGCGGGGAGAGTTACCTGCCAGCAGTGCTGCGAGCCAGACGGCAACTACCAATTTCCAGTTCAACATCGAAAACAGTGGTTCAGGGGCCCCTTCCCTCCTGCTGCAAAGAAACAGGGAGACTTGCTTCGAAGGCCTGGAGTTTGTTAGTAGTCTAATCCCACTGTCACTTTTTGCGTGATCTGGATCATAGCCCTGCTCCAACTCCATCCCCGTAGGGGTGGAAGGACCGGCTTGTCACACGTGGGGTTCCTCATGACGCCTTGGCTGGGACCGGTCCATTCCACGCTGCTGGATGTTCCTAATTCCTAATTAAATCCATCAGAGCGTTTCAGGTGCTGTGCAGTGAGGGCTTCGGAAGTCATTTAAAAGCACAAACTTGGATGAGTAATTTATTTGCAGTACGTTCGTGGGTCTTGGTTCTAAAAAGGAGTTACAGAGCTCTGCAGCTCCCGCTTGCCGGCACGGGAGAGGTAAGGCAGGAATGTGTTCATGGGCTGCGTCTGCAGCCAGCTTTCCTGTGGCCCCAAGCACGGTATTCCCAGAATGAGGATATTTGTTGTTCTGGCAGGATGCTCGTTTCTGCTGCTAGGCTTTCTGAGCTGCGATGTGACCCTGCGGCCTCTTTTCGTTTTCTGCAGCAATGACAAAACAGACTTGATTTTGTAATCTTCGCGGTGCTGCTGTAGGATGAGAGAATGTAAAAGCTCTGGAGTGGCAAGCCGGGGAGGTTCACGCGAGGTGCACCAGCCCGTGGGCCGCTGAGCCGGCCAGGGACCTGGAACTGCCCGTGCTGTGGCCGTGTCCGTACCGCCGCGCTCGGATGCTTGCAGCACTGCGCGGGCTCGGGGACGCTCTGTCTCCCAAAAGCATCATCGCCGAATCGCTCCTCTGCGGGATGCTGGCGGCAGCGGTAGCTGGGGGGACAAGCTCCACAGCAGGTATAGACCCTCCAAGAAGAGAAGGAGCTTCCTGGCGTTTTTCTAATTCATGTGAGACTTGAAAACGGCGGCTTCGCTGCTCGTGCACGTCTGCCTGGGCCTCTCTGACATCTGCCGCTTCACCTGCCAGTTCTGGGTCTCCCTGTGCGGGACCTACACCGCTGGTCCCTCGTGAGCACCTTCAGTAGCCAAAAAGAGCCTTTCTAGGACGGAGAACATGGTGGATCTCTTCTCCCAAGTAGTTAGTGATAGGACGAGAGGAAATGGGCTCAAGCTGCGCCAGGGGAGGTTTAGGTTGGATATTGGGAGAAA